CTGTAGAATTCCTGATATGATTTCATACAAAATTGAACCCTTCTCAATTCAATAGAAACGCACGGCACTGTCCAAAAGGATTATCGTCTTTGAAAAACTGATCATATTGATAGTTATTCATACTGATCCAAATTTGGTACGAATCGCACGACTAATAGCTGAGATAAAGAGGGGGGGCGCTGTAGAATCGTTGATGTTGAATATTTTTTCATGAAACTTGGTACAGATCCATTTCAGAGGACGCCAATTCTAGTGGTGTACGCGTTTTTATTTCTAAAATTATCGCTAATATGGATTCTGGATTTTTTAGTCCCTGAATGTGATCTAGTCGGCCTTGTTTTTTTTAAAAGAAGTGGACGCCGCTCAGCTCCTCCCTCTACATTTCCAAACAAAATTCGTGGAAATTATGAGAGTAGCTAGCTTTGAAATGGCTCACTATGTATATAGGGAATCCCTCGCCAATCAACAAATATTATAACATTATTTTAGATAGTGCCATGTTGGTGTTTTCATTGATGATATAGCTGAATTCATATCTTCTGGCCAACAAATTTTTGATAACGATAACAACCGCATCAAAAACGTTCTTCGACTCAACTTCTATCCAAAAACTTTCATCAATAGAACGATCCACCAAATTGAAAACAAAATAGAACACAACAAAAAACCCGCAATAACGGACAGTAATTCAAATCACATTTGGCAATATTTTCTAGAGAGATTTCACTTAACTTCTTCAAAGAGTGTTCTCGATGACCTACCACACAGACTCCCAGGATTTTCGATATATGCACTGAAGAACAGACAGGTCCGTACAGTAGCTTGGAAGAGGTAGGTAAGAATTTCGAACGATTCTAGTCCGTATGTATGAAGAATGTTTTCTCCACCATGGTGTATAATCTCTGCCACATGACATATTATGGCCGTAGACCAAGTAAACTAGTTTTTTTCAATCTGAAGATACGCCTAATTTATTAGTGGGTCGAGTCACGTCGAGTACAGAAGCTATGAATAAAGTTCTGGTCATTTGGTGAAAGCACCTTTTGAAGATTTCCATGCATGTTGATTTCTAGAAGATGCTGAGGTTAAAGTTAGCCAAATCCAGGTCACCTGTTAGCAATAACACCTCAATGCTTTCGAAGATGATAGATTAACACCCCCCAAATTGGAAAACTTGTATTGGAAACTTAAAAGCATTTCATATTCTTCCCTAGATATTTTTTATCTACGTTATCATCTATAATACTTGTAGATGATATATTGAGTAACATGATAAAAGAATACGTTTTCAACGCACCATATTATCAACTTATTCGTTTTCAACGTACAATTTTCAACGTTTTTCAATAAACTTATGAAGTGGGGACGCACAAAGTCCACCACCCCCTAACTTCCACACGGAACACTATCGAGATTGGGTAAAATTTAGGCAAAAAGATATCTCTTGACACTATAGTCCACGTGACCACAATCATTTTTATGTCGAAAAGTAGTAGAAGAGATCTCGAATAGCTTGTTTCGTTCAAAAGGGGTGGAGGACTTTTCATGTCCTCAGTGTATGTTTCACAGAGGGATATGGACACTTCTTACTTGAAAATTGAGTAAGTATATTTTAACAGTAAGAGAAGTTTGTTGACATCATGAAAATTTTTCACGTTTTCAACACACGTTCTTTTAATCAACTTGGTGTGTGTCATCTTGAAAGCATTCGAGCGTCACTCAATTTTTGGTCTTTTTCGAATTGACTCGACCGTTATTTGATGGAAATCCATGGCAAGCGTAAAAACTTCACAAACGCGATATAATATTTCCACAAAATTCGCAATCAATGGATGTCCAAGAAGGATTCCAACCACCTCGACGAAAAAAAAATATATTCAGAGTGAGTAGAGTAGAACGTTGAAATCATGTACCGCTTTCACATTTCCAAGATACGCTCTTCAATGTCAACTTATAGTGTGTTTTGGTTATCTTTGAGAGCATTTTGAATGTAATTCAATGGGTTGCGTGCAAGAACTGTCAGATGACCGACCCTGGAGGAACAACATTGAAACACAACCTCACTTTTCTGATTTGTTTACACTCTAAGAAAACTGTTGGTGTCTTTTTCAATTCCAGACTGTTAGAATTAACACTTACCCTATTCAACACCAAAATTGTACTATCCTATCATAAGTATTGGGAATTTGATATCGTGGGGTTCGACGGTGTAAATCGTGATACATTATGGCAAATCTGAATTCGGAATCACACTTTTCATACTCATTATTTGAATTCAAACTGTAAACATCAAATTATTCTATTCATGAATCACAAAGTTGATATATTCTGAAAAATTATCATTAGTAGGTGTAATTTTTCAAAATTCATATCATGAAAGTGATCAACTATCATATTTTTCATGTGATTATCAATTTTATGAAGTATCCATATTCACACAATAATAATTCCTCTTCAAGATATTCACCTAGTAATGAGATTGATAACCAAACCAGTGTATTTTCTGATATCACTGGAATAAATGACACTGGAATAGATGTAAATCAACACCACTGATATCAGAAAAACATCAGAACAAATTTGTCGCCATACACTGTTGCCACCTCGTCTATTTTATATTACTTAAACCTATTTCATATATAACACTTTGAACATCGTGGTGTAAGATAATGATTAGAAGTTGATGAATTTAATATCAATATGATGCTCTCTAATTAACGACTGCAACATTCTGTATCATTACTGCAGAGCTTACATGCATTTTGGTCCACCATTCGTCAAACGTACTCGACAGGCTGAGTCAGCACATCATCGTTTTGTCGTCAATCTAGAATTATGTCAAGCAACTCCTTTCCAAAACACGTTTGTCTATGGAACGACGAAGCTTCGGTATTCTTTGCCAACGGAAGTATTTCCAAGAACTTATGAGGACAATTTCATTTAAGTACCTACTGCCTATGTTCATTAAATTATCATGAAACTATAGGTACATATACTTAGTTATTTCATATCGTGATGCTTGGCAACCTTGCGCATCTTCTTTGCATGTGTACGTGCTCCTATCACGTCCACACTCCAGACTCCAGACTCCAGAGTTCCACAGCCATTCGTAGTAAACGTTGAGCAATATTCAGCACTGTCTCTCTTCACTGTGCTTTCAATAAGCACGGGTCATGTTGCTCTTCCAGTGTAAAGTGCATGATTGTTTCTATCATGAAGTGTATAAAAATAAAATTCAAATGCTCAGAAAAGTTTATTGAGGAGTCAAAATCAGAAACAATTGTCTCGATGTTTCGACACAACACCAAAATCGATGAGACACAGAGCTACCACAGGTAATACAGGTCAAAATGACTTGATTGGACCTAACTTGTTTATATAAAAGAATGTACCGTTTGTCCGTGAGGTGAGTTTAAAGTTTTCATAAATAAACACATTTTCGTTCGCTGATCGCTGTTCAAAAATGAGTGAAACAAATTTTAGAGTATATCTATGGTATAACTCTTCTTTCAGTAATGGAAGAATCCCGAAAGATATTGTAGATCTTTTGAAAATATGTTTATTTATGAAAACTCTGAACTCGTCTCACGGACAAACGGTATATTTTTCAATAAAAAGAAGTTGGGTCCAATCAACTTATTTTGACCCCTATTACCTGTGGTAGCTCTGTGTCCCAGCAATTTTGAGATACCCTGTACCTATATCTCAACAAAAATATTTCACACTATAATGAATTACAAATTGATTGAAGCAATTTTGTTTCATACCTAAATGTGTCAGAATTCTGAAGATTCGTGTCAGATGAAGAACTGTCCTCAATTAGAATTGACACAATTCCGGTTAAGAATTCAATGATCTGGTGTAAATAAACACCGTTCATTGTAGATTTGATCATTTGATGATGATTTTGTAAACTCATTCCGGTGTGACTTTAAATATACTGATGTTTTTCATGATCAATAGTATTGTGATTCACACCAGACCAGTGCGAACTCTATCAGAAAACATTGCACATAACACACCAGACTGGTATTACTTTACATCGATTTCGAAATCACAAATCTCACCTGAAAATGTGCAGAGATAGCACCAAACACCGGTGCTCTACAAATAGGTGTGAATTAACACTGAAATATGCAGGACCTCTAAGGAAATCATTCGGTGTTAGCTGGTGTCAACTGGTGTTCCAGTTTTTCTTAGAGTGTACGAGTGATTGAAATAGTTTTTCACAATTATTTTGGCATACGAATCGTATTTTTCGGCTATTCATTAATTCGGTCATGCCATCACATTGTGCTGTTGTACAATGCACAAAAACTGCAGCAGAAGACGAAGGAATCCTGTTGATACAATATGATTTAAAAGTAAGTACCTACTATAGTCACTCACATATAGTTTTCATTTTTGGAATTTTGTAATTTATCTGATTTCTCATCGGAATTCCTTCTGCAATAGGAGCTATTAGAAATACACGTGAAATTTCTGAAATAATGCAAGAAGATTGGATTCATTCAATCGAACTGGAGGACTGGTGTGATGCTGACGAAGTATGATCGTGTTTGTTGTAGACATTTCCAATCTAGTAGCAGTATTAGCTTGCGTTCCAGAAGTGGCAGAAGGAGTTTTAATAAGGAATGGAAATATTTCATAATGATATATAACTATGAGAGATTACTATTTACCTGGAAAATCATATTCCTTCGTCTCTCGCTGCATTTTTTGTGCATTGTATGCTTGAATTAATAAATAGGTAGCACAAAAAACACGATTCGTTTGCCAAAATATCGTGAAAAACTATTTCGAACCTCTGATTCCTCTGTAACCAAATAAAAAAGTGAGGTTGTGTTTCAATAATTCACAGAAGAGTGAGGTTGTGTTCCAATATTTTACCTTTAGGGTCGGTCATCGTGCACGCGACCTATTGTTGCTTCAGCATTGAATGAGCTCTTATTGGTTTTCAACCTAAGGATCGTCCAAGAAAAAACAAACTTATTCCCAACCTACTCGGAGTAGCTCGTCTTATCCGAGCCGGTATTGGACCCGGGCGAGCTAGCCGTAGCATTGTCGCCGCCCTTGTACGCCTCGTGGACCTGCCCCACCAGCGACAGGTAGTCGGGCGGCGGGCGGATGACGGTGGGCAGGTAGCCGGTGCCGGCGTACGGGGCGGCCAGGAATCGCCGCGCGGGGCCGTAGCGGTGGAAGGCGGGCGGCGGGCCGAGCGGGGAGAAGGCCGAGGGGGCGGAGAGGTCTTCTTGGACGCCGCTGACCATCAGCTCCATGGCTTGGAGGACGTCGCCTTTGCACCTGGAACGATAAGGAGGGGGAAGCGTTATTTAGATTCCATGTACTTAATGCGAAACGGGTCACATGTTTATATGCATCAATTGTTTATATGGTGTTGTCTACTAAGACTCTCAAGTAAATATATCAGAATGTTGAATACTTTACAAAGTTCAGGTCTTCACTGAAAACGTTGTATATATAGGCCTTTTCTGAAGCTCATTGAAAAAAAAATTCAAAATAACCTGTCCATATGGATATAGCCTACTGTCATACGTATGGTTAGTGACAACATTACAGTTAAAAGTTTGTGGTTAATGGTTAACACAACCATAAATCAAAAAAAAAAACTAAAACAATCCCCACCTTTGCAGAAGGGCCTCCACATCGGACCGCCTCCGTCCCGGAAATACCCTCATCAGCACGTCCACCGGGCTCCTCTGCGCCGCCAATTGCGGCTGAAAGTGCCCAGCGAACTGGTGGGAGAACTGCTGGTGATACGCCACGAAGCCGTGGGCGTGGCCGTGGAGGGGCGGGGGCGTGGTCTCGGGGCTGGGTCGCGTCTCGCGCTTCACCGACAGGTTCTCGGGCGCCTCGCCTGGAGGCGTGTCCTCCTCCACGTCGAGGTCGTGGTCGGGACTGGCGACGGGGTCGGGCGAGGGGGTGGGGGCCAGAGGGGCGGGCAGGCGGGCGGGGGAAGAGGGGGAGTGGCGTGGGCGGTTCGAGTCGTCCTGGTCGGAGTCGGAGTCGGCTAGGGAGCAGTCCTCGACGTTGATTCGCGGCCTTTTCGAAGCTGGAACAACGAGGAATCGTCAATTCTATGTTGTCATTCATATAGTTTCAAATTTTGAATTGACTCGGCCGTTACTTGATGGATATCCATGGCAAATGTAAAAACTTCACAAACGATAAGATTTCCACAAAATTCTTAAACACACAACATGTTTCGCTAACGCAGTTACACTTTGGAGCAAATCATCTGATTGCTGTTCATTCCAATAATCAACAATTGATTTTCCATATCGAGTAACAGTGCACAATACATATACGTAGTAAGTGTACAGTCAAATGCAGAACAAATATCGCGGTTGGATGGTGTTAGCACAGTTTATGGGAATGTAGGTAAATATTGCATCCAAGCGATAAAAAAAAATTATGTATAAATAAATACTGGATACAACAAAAAATCTGTGTATGTCCTTATAGCCGGCGACTGGCCGTTTTTTTATTCAGCCTGTATATTTATGAAATATATCGAATATATTGAACTGTTTTTTTTTTTCAATAGGAATTTTTATACTTGGGAGAAAACTGAATATTATTTTATGTTTACTGAAATCAATCTTTCTAAAAAAACCTTTTTTACTGTGACGGGAAAAAAGTTTGGCATTTCATCTCTGTTGGCAGGTTATAAAATGTCACTTTTCATAAATTACTTCTGCCCATTGGAAAAAGTGAGTACTTTTTCCCCGGATATATATCACATAACACTGTTGATGGCTTTTGTTGTGCTGTAGTTCCGAAAAATGAGTCAATAATACCGTCTCCGAGAAAGAACTGCAAGTCCTTTTATCTTCCATTCGACTTCGCCGTTACGTATATTACTAAACAACCACTAAATTCGCAATTTTTTGAAATCAAATCACAGAATTAGACTGACAGAAGTGACATCAGATATTTCATTACTCCAAAAGAATGATAAAGATGCCTACAACGCAGGTGTCCCTACTGTTAGGAACTTAAAATTTCACGTCGATAATTTTCAGATTTCAAAATAATGTATCATCTTCTCAATATTGATTCGTCCTTTCTTCTTTCACATAGAAAATAGTGTATTATACACGGGAAAAATATTAGATTTTAGCTCACGTTTTTTTGTCTCCCTCCGAACACAACCTGGAGCTAAAATCTACTACTTTTTTCCCTTGTAAAATAAATAACTATTTTGAATGGTGTTCATCACAGATGCAACTCACATAGGAACTGGTGCATTCCCAATGGAATTCAAAATGATGAGGAGAAACCATGGTTCATTTTTTGTGTAAACGGCTTCGTTTGCGAGTTGAAAGCTGAAAACCATTAAATACATTTTTTTGTGACTTTTTTGGTATTTTCTGAAATTTTCCGATAGAATTTTTGGTGGACAACTTTAGATTCGTAATGAGCACATCAAAAAACAAGGAATAACCCATTGAAAACAATTACACCAGAACTCTCCACCCTAAACTACCGTTTGATTAGACTATGAACTATGTATCAGAAAGGTCCAAATTTATAATCTCCTTTCGTTGTCAACCTCGAAAGAAGTCGAACAGCACTTTATCAAGACTCCTTCATCCATAGAACGGCTAGGCTCTGGAATTCATTGCCTGTGGAAGTATTCCCAACAACATATAATCTCCAAAAGTTCAAAAAAAATTCCAATACCTACCTCCTGTCCCTATCCTCCTTAGGAACGCACGATGTTCTTTGAACATTATAGGGATTCCCTTTCGTGCGCTCCAAGCGATAAAAAAAAACCAGCGCGAACAATTACGACATAATTGAAGAGCTTCCAAAGTGTCGATGAGGCGACAGATAATATAAAGTGACCACAAATAGTCCGCGGATAGCGGCCCATAAACGCCGCTAAACGACCTCGCAGCCCTTATATTAAATTGATACTCATATTTATAAGGGCGTCTGTTCGCATTCCGGGCTTATTGCGAATTCCACAAGTATCGTTTGCGGGCAATCAAGTGACACCGAAGGCTCTTTTATTGCCGACTTCTAGACTCTTCCGCTCGTCATCGTCGCTTACTCTGATGCTCCTTCGCCATAATGCGCTTTGTTTTACACACAGGGTGATATAATGCAACATCAATATTTATAACACTATTTTCCAAAATATATTAATTGTGGGAAATCTTCTCACCCATATGTATGTACTCTGTACTCAACTGTAACTAGTTTAAGTATACCTAATTCCAGGATATCTTTAACGTAGATACTCACCACGCGCGGATTTATTTCCTTGGGGTTGTCAGCGTTTATTTATCACTATTATTAAGTACGGATATTTTTTTATTTGTACCCTTCAGAAAGTGAAAATAAACATTATTATTATTATTATCACGTTGGCTACCATATGAGTCTCATGTGATGCACACTCTCATTTGCTCTACAAACCACCGTAAAAAATCGCATACTTCCTCTCTGTACCAAGTGAAGAATCAAACTCAAAACGTAGCCTTTCGCTACAAGATGTCGCTATATTGTATTTTGAAGCAGATGCCTTCATCTCGATAGAGTTTGCTGAAAGATCACCGGTGATTCACATGGTACATAAATGAACCATGATTGAAGGGAACTCCTTATATTTTGTTGTTTTTTTCGATTATAAGCGCCTTTATTCAAACCTTCAAGTACGCAAAAATTCAAAGATGGCAGCAAAACATACGAAATTGGTTACCACCTTTTACGCGGAATGCTCCGAGAAACCTTCATACTGTTTAGACTGTTTTCAAAAAAAAAACATTAGTATTTTCTTTGTACAATGATTATTGATAAGATTATTTTCTACTTATGAGTGTAACAATTTCAATAAAAAATTGACAAAAGTGTGAGCGGTGCGTCTTTTCATCAGAATAATCTAGTCAATTTCTATAGGCATTTTCCAGATCTATGTGTATCACTGGTGATACCCACTTCAATCCGATATTATTTGGTTCATACCTGTACCATACCCACAATCTAATTCCTTCGTTTATACACTAGGCTTCTCTACGAGCATTCAAATAATATGTGTTAAAGTACAGGAGTGAACTATGAAAGAGCATCACCGGTGATACATATGGTACCCTAGGTCAGAATGTTGAAATCAGGCTCGGTAGTCAACGTGTTATTATTATTATTATATACAGGGTGTTGCGAAATTCGACCGATAACGCTTGACAGGTGATAGCCATCGTGATTTCATAATCACTGAGATAGGGACATACGGTCTTTAAGTGTTCAGTTCTCGAGATACAGGGCGTTGAAGTTGAGAAATTTAAGTAGGTTTTCCGCAATATCTCAAGAAAAATTGAATATAATGCATTCAAATTCGGTATACGGTTTCATCTTTGAATGGTTAATTTTTTGACCAGAAAGACATACCGATAATTTTACCCAGAGATGCGCTACAGAGGGTTGTGATAACTTTTCCGCCCATATGTTTTACGCCACTGATGAAAATTCGATAATTTCCAATTTCTCGAATTCATTGTTTAATTATGTTGAAAAACTGCATCATCTTCAACTGAGCTGAAATGAACAGTTTTTGAGATATTTGACCCAAAATAGAAGTTTCTTCAGTAGTTATAGAAGAGTACAAATATTTTTGTTTTCTCTTTATGCGTGGAATTAATATTTCTGTTCAGCTACAGAATGAGATCTGAATAGTATCTAATCTACTCAACACCAGAAAAATATTTTTGCAATTTTCTACTACTGAAAATGATGAAATATTACTATATGCAATCTTCTATCTTGGGTCGAATATATCGAAATCTGTTCATTCCAGCTCAGTTGAAGGTAATACATTTTTTGAACAAAATTGAACAATGAATTCGTGGAATTGGAAATAATTGAAATACAATCAGTGGCGTAGAAAATATGGGAGGAAAAGTTGCCACAACCCCCCTGTAGGGCACCACAGGATAAAATGTCCGGAATGGCTTCCTGTTCAAAAAATGACTCATTCAAAGATGAAACCATATACCGAAGTTCGATGAATTATATTCAATTTTTCTTGAGATATTGCGAAACAACTATTTTTATTTCTTAACTTCAACACCCTGTATCCCGAGAACTGATTCTCGCAGATTCCAGTCACCTGAATTATATTATTTAAATATTATTATGAATGAAATCTCTTTTATTTCTCGAACATACGGTTGAGTAACATAAGAATAAATAGTAGTTTGAAAAACTAAAGAAACACCCTTTTATAGATAGTCAAACTAAAAATAAGTAGAAAATAAAATAATAAAAGTGTGTTGATAAATACACAACAAAGAGAATATTGGTATCTCCGTAATCAGTACATTCTATGTTCTTTTATTATTTTATCTTCTACTTGTTTTTAATTTAGCTATGGCTATCTATAAAAGGGTGTTTCTTTAGTTTTTTGAACTGCTAGGTATATATTTTCGATTTTTTAGTTCGGCTAACTACAAAAGCGTATATTTTAGTGTTCATATATTCACTGTGCGTACCCAATTTCGACGAAAGAATCCTAATCTTCAACCCCGAAACCCCCAAATACAAATTTTGATTTGAATCGGATCATAATTACAAAATTCGTCTACCATATTGGATAAGACATCTTGAATTCTCAAATTCTGACGAAAGAATCATAATCTCCGATCCCAAAAACTCCCGGATACAAGTTTTGCATAGATTCGGATCATAAATACAAAACTCGTCCGCCATATTGGATCCGCCATCTTGAATTTATCAACTTCGACGAAAGAATCATAATCTCCGACCCCGAAAACCCCCAGATATCAATCTTGACTAAAATCGGATCATTATTACAAAAATCGTCCGTCATTTTGGAGCAGCCATTTTGATTTTTTCGTCTAACAAAAATTTCATGATGCATTGCCATTCGAATTAGGTACACCTACTAAATTTCAAATCAATCAGTAGGTACGTTTGAAGTGGGCCAAAATTGAGTCCGAAGGAGTCGGTTACATACATACATACATACAGGTGAAGCAAATAAACATTATGACATTCATACACAGAAAAATGCGTCATCAAAAATTCTATAGTCGTCAGAAAAATGCGCAACTGAAAAAGAAAAGCGACGTGTCTGTGCTTTTTGTTTTGTTTCAACCTTTACGTGTTCACTGTATAATACTTTTATCTGACCAGTTTAGAGAGTTATTTGTTACAGTACTATCAGCAGGGAAATCCCAAATTACATTCCAAGCAAGTTTATTAAATCGTCTGAATACTTTGGGCTGAGACAATCGTATAACAATATAGTTTCTATAGGGGCATTACAGTTCTACAAGCGTTATATACTCATTTCTGGAATTTCTATGTGCATGCTGGACATTTAAATGGCATCCTTATAATGGGCTAGGGTTGAAAATATCTGATGTATTTCGAAAATCAATATATCCTCCTCAAGAGGGCTTCTTCACCTTCACCATGAATTCCGTTTCAAAGTACATTTCTTAATTCAATTTTGTATCGAAAAAGTTTAATGAATGTATCTAACCCAAGTATTAGAAAAACGTCCATGACTACTGACACGACGGGTGATGAGGTATAGGATTACTATGACTTTTCAGCTAATAAAAAAGAAGTGCTTGTATATTGAAATTCTTCTTTTTTATTATCCCGCGGGGGATTTCAAGATTGTGAAGAGGGTAACAGTGTATAGTCGAGCTGACGAAAGTATCTATTTTCAAACGACTAACTCTGCTTGCGTCTGTATTACAGGATCGAATAACACTTGTTGGATACCTGAAAAAGGTTTCATTGTTTTTTTCTCTAGACACGATCGCAATTCGAAACTTTAGGAAAAATATGTTCCTTTATATCAATATATTGATGGAAAAACATAATTCGACGTAATTGAACTTTTTTCACAGCAATGATGTGAAGTATAAGTCTTCAGTGACTTCATTGAGAATTTTATACATGATCAATTATTGTATTAACATCATAGAATTCAAAAGTTGGCGTTTGTGAATTGAACAATCTATTATATGTGCTAATTATTTGCATATATAGTATTAGACTTAATTGCTGGGTTCGATAATTTTTCGATAAAAAATGTCGTCTAAATTTCAACTTGGCTTACTTGATCAAATATATGTACAGTATGGTGCAAATGAATGGAATAAATTCATTATTTTGTAATAAGGCGACCCTACAGAAAAATCCTGATACCCGTCGATTTTTATTATCGAACGCGCATTCTGTCAAATATTTTTGATACGCATGACGTCATTGGTGTGAGCGTGATGACGTCATCGATGATTTTTTTAAATGGAAATGTGGGTCATGTGATATGTCATTGGAAAGGTGTTTCATTTACCTATCCAATCATATTAATGATTTCAAGTAATTTGGGTTTTTATTCTAACAAACAATTGTAGTAATAAAAGAAAATTCCCATTCAATGAATACAAACAACTTCAAAGCAAATGTTCAAACTGCCGACCATCTGCTATAAGACAGTGGGATAGACGAGCAGTAAATTCTTCTCGAACTCTGCCAATAACGTCCTGAGTGATTCGTCCCATCTCGATGCGTATACGGTCTCTGAGATCACGGATATTGTGTGGTCTATTTTGGTAAACTTTACTTTTCAAGTATCCCCATAAAAAGAAATCCAGAGGTGTTAGATCTGGCGACCTAGGTGGCCATTCAATTGCTCCTCTTCTTCCTATCCACCGATCTGGAAAGACGTTGTTCAAGTAGCGTCTCACCACGACAGCATAGTGTGGCGGCGCACCATCTTGCTGCAGCCACAAATCAGTTCTGTTTGGGAACAGCCGATTCAGTTCGGGTAGCAAGAAGTTTTGCAGAAATTCTAAATATCGAGGACCTGTCAAGGACTCATCGAAGAAATATGGTCCTATTATCATATTCTCTATAATTCCCGCCCAAACATTCAATTTTTCTGGATATTGAGTATGATATTCCTGCATCCAATGTGGATTTTCAGTAGCCCAATACCGACACGTCTGACGATTGACATGACCGTTTAGGAGAAATGTAGCTTCATCAGAAAAAAGAACTTTTCGGAAAAACATCGGATCTGTGTTATTTTTCTCCATCATAATTTCGCAAAATTCAATTCTTCTATCAAAGTCGCCTTCCAGAAGCTCCTGAACTAAACTAACTTCGTAGGGATGCCACTTCTCCTTTTTTAGCGTTCTAAGAACTGTTGAATGGTCAATGTCATTATCTAATGCTACTTGCCTTGAACTGGTATGGGGATTATCTTGAAAAGCTAGTAAAACATCTAGTTTCTTGTCACCTGGAATTTGTTTCTTACTACCTTTGGGTAGGTCTTTCACATGACCCGTTTCTCTGAATTTCTTTTCAATTTTGCTTACCGTGGATTGTGAAATCGGTTCTCGGTTGGGATATTTATTATTGAACAGAGTACAAACTTCTTTTTGCGTTCGTGTTTTGTCTTCACAACCAATCATTATAAGAATTTCGATTCTTTCTGTGTCAGTGAGCTTCATATTGATAATTTTTGAATATTTCTACTGGTATAACCATTAACATTCGACAAGCCGATTGAGTTTAATTCGAATGTAGCAGTTTCGATGAGTCCCACATGTGTGAACCGGCAAAAAATCAAGTAAGAAGCTATCATTTCGTTCCCAGGGACGGCCTTTTCAAAATTAGATCTTGGTTACTTACAGAGATTCGAAAATCATAAATTGGACACAGAATTTAATAATTTTGTAATGAGTGATCTGTAATTTCAAAATCAATTTTTTTCTGCATACAACAACAATTAGACAAATTTTTTGATATGGTTGGATAGGTAAATGAAACACCTTTCCAATGACATATCACATGACCCACATTTCCATTTAAAAAAATCATCGATGACGTCATCACGCTCACACCAATGACGTCATGCGTATCAAAAATATTTGAGAGAATGCGCGTTCGATAATAAAAATCGACGGGTATCAGGATTTGTCTGTAGGGTCGCCTTATCACAAAATAATGAATTTATTCCATTCATTTGCACCATACTGTATATAAGTTATAAATCTCTTCGAGTACCTATAGGTACTAAAATAATACCTCAAAATATAAATTTTTTGAAATGCACGTACCAAATTGATAAAAGAAACGAAGGTATGTCTAACATTTCTAAAGGTAAATATATATACCTTCTGTCGGTTCACAAACGGTTTCCAATATTTATTCAAGTTCAATTGTTCATATATATTTAACTGAGGCATATTCGATATTGGATGTTACCAAGTTATTTCAGATCTAAGAAGTGCAGTACTCTGTAATTTTGCAAAAAATCTCAGTTCAATATTTGTGTTCAATGTTGATGTGTTTGCCTTTCATGGGCAAGTAATACTCGAAGCAGTTGGTAATATTTAGTAAAGATGGCAATTGTTTTACGGTTAAGCTAATATGCATGGGCTGTTATTCCAGCATTCTAAAATGATGAACATTGTGTTTTCTAGTTCTAGAAGATTTTTCCAAGAAACCCATGAATATGCATAGGTTTATGTTAATACAGACTGAATTTTTTTTACAGCAATTCGCCTATTATATAGAGTGATCAGGTAGGGTAAGTATATATTTTATGGTATAGGACTAACGAGAGTCGAATTAGGTTGTTATGTTCTTTATTATCTCAGAATTCTTGTTTATAATAGGGATATATAAACATATGCATATACATATCTCAAGAAAAAAAAGTATATTCATGTAAAGATAAATTGCTCCGTTTATAAAGTACACATTTTTTCATAATAATTTTGAATCTATTTCACCATCAACATGTTTCAGTTCATAAGGTAATGAATTATATAGAATTATTCCATTGTAGAATATTTTGATTGTTTTTTGCTATATTCATGAATTCAACTGTCTCGTTTCATGAGTATGAATTGTATTTACTTCAGTAAAGTTCAAGTTAGATTGGACAATTTTTTAGTCTATATATATTTCTTTTTGAAATTAGATTTGTCATAGTTAAGAGTCAGCTTATAAAGTAGACAATATATAATTTATGCCAAATCAAAGTGCATGATGCCACTTTCAATCGACAATGGAGAAGTTATGGAACTAATACAAAAGTTTTCATTTCGCAATGAGTTATAATTGAAATCAATTCCTTTGCTCATCAAACCATGAATATATTACTAAAGCCTATACTCCTATATACCCACCTCTACAAATCAAGCATACAAAGAATCTGGACTAGCCATAATATCCACTCTGAAACTGAAAACAACATGTCGAGTGCTCGAACTTTAAAAAAATGCCTCGTAGTTATAGTCTTTTATACGGTTGAGTTTTCATTTTCCGAGGTCTCTTGAAAAGGCTGTTATGAGAATTTCCATGAAAACAAATCGTTTCGAGTGCGGTCAGCAGATTAAATGTATAAAACAGTTTATATTCGAGTTCGCATTCATTATTCGGTTATTGAGAACAGTTCGTGTTTTGTATAGAGGGTTTCGATGGACCTACGCACAGTTCCAGTTCATTCGAAAACGGCTTTTTTATTCGTTCAAATTCCCTGCTCCGAGATATTAAATGAATTTTTTCATCAGACTTTATATAAACACATGACCGAAATGTAGGTGCGAGTTCCCAATGCAGCATTTCTGCTTTTCGCGTCAAACGTTGAGCAGTCTGATTAGTGACGCGTTTTTTTTATTATTTTCATCAGTTTCCAATGAATTGTAGTTTGCATTGAAAAATCATGAGAATATCTGAGAATAATGAAAGATATTTTCAATTCTGTAAACTTTGCAGAAAGTATATACAGCCTGTCCAAGATAAAGTTGAACAGCATGGGGATCTCGGAAACGGTAGGAGATGCGAAGTCGTTTAAATGGGGAAAAAGTTGCGCATTCGGAGGCTCATATCAAGAGCCTTCGGAAAATTTGAAAATTATTTTTAGTTTTTGAGTTATATCGAAAAAAGTGAATTTTTGGAATATCTATTTTTAGTTTGTGAGCGAGGCATCACCCACGACACGAATTGCCCTTTTTTGAACAGTTTCAGGATATGTTTGGGTGCTGCAGTCGAAATATGGGAACAGTATTCCAGGACATCTCGGATATGTGCTTTATAGATCATAAGCAGCTGACTGGAAGTGAAACAGCTCCTGGTCCGAAACAGAAAACCAAGTTTTTGGGATGCACTTTTAGCAATTGATCTCACGTGATTTTTCCAAGAAAGGTTATTGCTGATAGTAATACCAAGCATCGAAATGGATGTCTTCAAAGGTATGGTTAGGTTAGGTTAGGTTCCATGTGAGTGGGGCGAATACCTCCCCTCCACTGCGACCCCAGATGGGTCTATTGTGACTCACCCCTAGAGGTTAGAGTTCACCGTACAATCCACATCTTTTTACAAAGTTCATGGTTGAATTGGGCGAGATTTGTCTGAAATCGATAGGTTCTAAATTGGTAAAGCCAAATGTGTCGAACCTTAGTCTTTCTAAGCTAGAGCATGAACATAATATGTGTTCAGCCGTTTCGTCTTCCACACAACAGAACCGACAGTCCGTTTGTTGATTCAGACCCATCCTTCCCAGGTGATATCTTAGACGACAGTGTCCCGTAAGCAGTCCAGTCAGAATTCGCAGGTTACCCCTGCTCCATTCTAGGATCTGCCTGGTTATTTTTTCCGATGGTTTAGGCAGGAACGCCTTCGAATGGGTTAATCCTGGTAATTCAGACCAGTACGTGAGTATTTATTCTTCCGCCCTGCCCGAGATGGTTGTTTTCGTCGCACTTGCGGTGACCCCAAAATATGGTTCTGGTCCTATGAACACAGATTCGGTTCCCTGTTTGGCGAGGATGTCGGCTTTCTCGTTACCCTCCACCCCCTGGTGTCCAGGCACCCACAGCAAAGTGACTCTGTTGTTAGCACCCAGGCTTGCTAGGGATTCAATACAGTTCCATACAAGCTTGGAATTTATCTTACTGGAGCTCAGTGCTTTGGGTATGGTTACTCCTGACAAGCTTATGTTGGGCATAGTTTTCCCCTCGTTCGTTTCTGATTTGTCTGGCTGGTATTGGTAATGTGCTGGACAAAAATATATTTTGAGAATAAATGTGACAGAAAGTATCTGTTTCTCGGGCCCCCATGCGGATGTGGGGCTCCAGGCACGGTCCCCGTGTGCCCTTATGGTAAAGACGGCATTGTCTGTACCCATTATCAGAAATCACATCGAAGTGATAAGTTTTATCTTCACGTTCGGTTTGGTCGATGATGCTGCGAACAGTTAAAATGTCTCCGGCAGTAGCCAATATATTCCGACATATTGTGTAAGACAAAGCAGCAGCCGTGTTCGTTCAAACAATACGTGGCGGCAAGGGTAGTAGATTTATAACGGCCACGTTTGACATGCGGGGGTGCTATTCTGAAAAGGATGTATCCGTTTGAATAGTATTAACGGAACAGGCACAAGATTCTAAGGACATAAATTGAGCCTCATTATTTGGATTCTTTCTCTGTGTCATGCTCAGAATGTCGATGATTTGTAAAAAAACAGTGTTTTTCTGCAACCGACACAAAAGTCCATTTTAATACAAAAATTAGCTCTTGAATTGACGTTTCTATTATACTGACTAATACTGACACAGACATAGGTATGTTGTTAGGCAACACCTTTAGTTCCTAGAGGAACTAACACGGATGGATGTACTAGAGTCACTGGATGTAGAGTTGTACTAGGTCATCAAAAATAAAAATCATTGTAATGGTTGGATATTTGGGTTGGGAGGCATACCTGATTCGTTCCCGATTTCGGCAGATTTGGCATTTCATACCTATCCTGGAAATATAAATACACCATATTATTGTTAAGTATTTTTGTTTTGATCAGGAAACCCTTCAAGATTCATATACTCGCTTGATCTGTTTCTCATTTAATCTCGAAATCCGATTGATTGGATAACTTTCGCAAGCCATCTGTATATGGAAGTTATTGCCATGAACAGAAATATTATTATGTTTCAGATACTACGAAAAACAATTCATCTTTGACGCTGAAAGATATTGATTTTGATATTGGCGAAAGAAACAAGTGTACTGTGTCTTGTTCAGATACCAATGATGCCAGCATCCCGTTGTTACCGTACAACTTCCCTATCAAGAAAACTGGTTTAAATCACTTGGGGAATACATATTATTTGAATAGCGTTCTACAAGCTCTTTTCATGACGAAATCTTCCCGGAATGGAGTGATTTCATGCAACAAAGACTTTCCTGAACTATTTCTCAAGATACAAGAACTCTTCGTTTTGTTGCAATTCTCAAAGAAGGTTTCACTTTCTCCTTTAGAAATTTCCGAATTGTCAAGAGCACCTGGTGTCTTGGTAGGTCATCAGCATGACAGCTCCGAGTTTTTGGGCTTCTTATTCAACAAACTACAAGATCAAGAGAATACCTTCAACTTCTCTTGTAATTTCTCTGAAGAGAGTGGAGAAGCTTTCACAACGCTGGTGCAAACTTTTTTCAGCAGCAAGATGTTGACTGTTTCACGATGTTTGATTTGTGGAACGGAGAGCGATCGTGTCGATCTATTTAGGGAGCTGCAACTGTCCTTCCCTAACACCAACTACTGTCAGAATCAGACCGTGCAATCGCTGCTGGAACCAGTCATTCATTGCTATTAGGGATGTCACCTGGTTTAAATCATCATTGATTCATCGATTCAATAGAATAAACACAAATGGGTCACTCTGTGGTTGTATTTATATTGAAACTACAATTCGAACATCCTTGAAAATGGAATGAACCAGATCTGTAAATGCAGGTAGAATATTCTCAACACACGGATTATTTGTTGTATTGTATACATATGGCGCGGCATCCACGTTTCGGGTATAGTATTGAATTCGTGCCTGTATAGTATCTGATGATGCATGTCAACAAAAATTGTAACATATAGTAAAGTCATTGTCCACCAATATTCGAATATACATAGTAGTCTGAGGTCTTGCTTCCATCTACTTAACTATATTATTATAATGAAGGTATTATAATAATCTGTCAAGTAAGTCGCATTGGTGGTTACTTCTCATATTCATTTTAGTTAATTCTTCCGGTTGAAGAAGAAATAGCATGATCCATTCGGATCAAAAGTGACTCTGTTTGACTGGCAAATGTTGCTTCTGCTCGGCTTCGCTAGTGATTTTATTCGTTATTTATCTCACTCGTAGCAAGATGATCTAACCCTGACTATACCATCATGTCTGGTATTATTCAGTTTCTGATAAGAATTATTTTACACGGTTACTTGAAAACTCCAATTATTAAGAAATTGGAACGCTGATTAAGAACACCCCTTATGAGATAATGTTCGGAATATTGATATAGGAGTATTTGTGACTAGTACAAATCCCACTTTAGCTCCAATTAAAAACCAGAAATTGAAATGAAAATAGCGAACAGAAAACATTTTCAGATCAGATCCCATCGACCTTCTATATATATATATATTGAAGAGAAATGAGACGTCAGACGCAACACTCGCCACCAGCGTCTGGAGCACGGTATATATATATACAGAAGATGCTGTAATTCTGTTTTCTATTAAACGAAAACGACGATGTTCCTATTGTGACTGGAAACTCGATATTCACTTGAAAGAGCAAATTTTTTTTACTCAATACGCCTCGAGTTCGGGCATGGCGAGAAAATTGATTGGGAGAATAGAATTATTGCGAATCGCGCTAGGATGATTGATAGCGAATCACTTCTGGTGAAGAATTCATTAGCAGATGATTGAAAGGATGCAGCTTTGAAAATTGATTTGTTTTTTTTATGTTCTGGTTTCCACGAAAAGGGATATCCTGTAATGTCCAGAGAACATCGTGAAGACCTAGGAAAATAAGGTAGGAATTGGTGTTCTTCTTAAATTTATGAAGGTTATATGCCTCTGGGAACACCTCCCTTGGCAATGTGTTCCAGAGCCTCGCTGTTCGTTGGAAAAAAAAGTCATTGGAAAAAGATGTTCTGCAGGTCTCCAAGGTGACCACGAAGGGGTGCGAAGCCTCAACTCGACGGGTTAATCTCGCGGGGACTGCCAAGGGAGGAACAATTGTTGATTTGTCTCAACACTTCATCATTTCACAGATCGAGGAATAGTGGCCACGATACTACCGTATGGATATTTGGTATGCTTACCAAGGTGATCTAACTAAATAGCTAGAATCGAGAGACCAATGAAATCTGAAGAAGTATATTTATGAGTGTATTAGGTATTAGTCTTTAATAATATATGCATTGTGCATTCATTTTCCACGTTATTTTCGGGATAGGAATTTATTCTGTTTCGATAAATATACCTGCCTTCTACCTTTACCCACATTTCGGTCATTAGAGAAATCTAATTTCCAAATATTTGTCCACCGTCTAAAATAACAACTATCGATATTATTGGGTACTTTTAAAATTCCTTTCAATGTGGAAAAAATGTCGAAAAAGTGGTCAATGTTTGTCGAACCATTATCTCGGCAAATAATAAGAGTTACTTCTATATATACGTGCGTAACAGTTACACAACCTGATCTTCAATTTTTTCCCGATAATTTTGCGATCTGAACAAACAATTTATTCAAATCACCGTAAATCATGTTTAATTTGAGGAATGAATATTCATGTAGATAATTGAAGTTACATTAAAATGTCTTTATAATATATTCCAACATACTGGTAATACATGCAATTTCAAATAGGTTATATGAATGATGAAGAAATCAATAGATTTTCCAAATGTATACACAATAAGGTACCTTATATATTTATTTATAGGAAGCTATTTGTTTCAACACTTTTTGACCTACTTGCACACACTTATCCGATCTATTGAATTATTTTTGAACGTTTCTCAAAACAATAAAAATGTCTAATGTCAGTATATTAACTGAATTAATCTACTTACTCAAACAATTTGTATTACAATTTGCTCTACCCCACCCCTGTACTCTCGTGTTCCTAGGCCGATTTGAGAATTTTTTCTCTTTTTCTTATCATAATATACTACTTGAAATCACAATTTCTTAGCCTACTGCGATAACAAAAACTCCAGCAAAATTAAAGAAACCGGTTTAGGCATTTTCTTTCAAAAATTTTGATAATGGCGATCGATTCGGACTTGCCACAAATACTCCTATATAAATTCTCAAAACAATATCTTCATGAGGGTGAGATGGAAAATGCAATTATTCAAAAATTGTAACGTTGATACAAACAATCCACATGAGAATGATATACAGGAGTCCGAATCGATTGTCACGTTTTCTTTAATTTTACTGTAATTTTAGTGATCGCAGTAGGCCAAGAAATTGTGTTCGGTAATTTTTCTTGCTCGATAAAGTAGATAATTTTAAGTATTATTTTATGAGAAAAAAAAAATTGAAATCGCCCTAGGAATACAAAAGTAGGGGGGTGAGGTGGACAAAATTGAGAAACCCTGTATATTGACATCAGTTAAAACGTTCAACTACAGCATACACATATGAGTTTTTCAAAACAGATAACAGAATCAACATATCAGCTACCCATATAGGTAATAGAATGAAATCAGAGTTTTGATGACGATTTCGAAATTTTGCATGCAGAAATGAAGGAATACTATAAAACCCAATCATTTCCAATCTATAGAAATCAACTTAAAAATTCTATCACAACCAGACCTGAATAATCCACTTCTTCTGATTTTAGTCACATTCGTGCTAAGTAATTGTACTTGAGAAAAACTCGGTGATATTCAGTGTCTGTTGGCCGAAGGGCTATAAATATTTTCGGTAAAGAATCAAACAAAATGTTTCAACTACAGTGAAACAACGTGAAACCTTGGTTTTTGTATCCGCTAAAAATGAAATACAATTTTCTTATTCGCACCATGCACTGCAGACTTTTTCGCACTGCTTCACATATATATCAGCAAATTTCCCATGGAAAGTTGCGTAAAATGGCGCTTTTTATAAATTACGACAAGTTTTTTGGAAACTAACAACAATGAACAATGGTTGTAATGTATTTGGAGACCGGCAAATGGCTATAATACATAATAACATTATTTCATGTACCTACCATGCGATCCTATATATAAATTCTAGGAGACTCAAAGCCTCAAGGATCATCCAGGTTCAAATATAGAGCTTCCAAACATTTTGGTGGGGGGGGGAGCTTTGTCTTCCTCATTACTCATCTGGCTTCTGGGAGCCCTGAGAGTTATTCGGGTAATTAAAAAGCAATAAAATGATTTTAATTCAATATCGAATCGAGAAGCTAGAAGTTAATTTTCAGCTTTTGTTGGAATTTACGAGGTCTTCCTCGTTATTATCTCTCATTAAAAAGTTTCCGACTTTATAGGGCCATTGTTACTGACAACTTGAATTTAAGACGCGACTAATCGTTCTGGAAATCCATATAGCTGAAAGGTCTCAGAGGCGATAACAGAGACATTTTGTAATCCCCTTGCACTATATACAAAGTGTTCTCGAAGGTGGAGCATCTTTTTCAACATCTAGGATATAGTACCCACCAAAATTCACCATTTCACAAATAGTGTCATTTAGCTGGTGAATGATTATACGTATCGAATGAACAATGAGATTTAGCGAAGGTCTCAAAGAGCGATGGATTTAAATTACCGTGTCATAGGAACACTGTGAATGGGTGACGGATTTAGAAAACGGTTAGAACGTTGTGATTGAGCGACGGACTCGAGTAGCGGTGGATTTGAAGGCTTGTGACGCAGATACTTTTTGTGAATGGGAGACGGACTGGAATAGCGGTGGATATAAATGAACGTTTCGCAAAGACACTGTGAATGAGCGACGGTATCAATTATCGGTGGATTTGAATGACAGTGTCATAGACACACGTGTGGAGAAGGCTCTGTGAATAAGCGACGGACTCAAATAGTGGTATATATATGAATGCTTGTGTTGCTGAGACTATATGTGAATGGGTGGCGGACTTGAATAGCGGTGAATTTAAATTCTCGTTTCGCAAAGTCACTGTGAATGAGCGACGGATCGAAGTAACGGTGGATATCAATGAGCGTGCTATAGGGACACTGTGAACTGGTGACGGACTCAGACCAACGGTGTATTTGCAAGCTCGTGTTATATCGATCGTTAATAAATAAATAGATCGTTAATAGGGATCAATACCGATCGATTTCTTCGGGTTCATTAATCAAACTTATTAATATGAAGTCGACGGAAAATACAAATTACCGTGGCGCTGATACGTCGTCGTAGGTAGGTATATTTCTTCCCTCTTCAAGTGTTGAATGCTGCAAAGTCAACTCAGATGTGAAAATGATAGGGTTTCAACCGACACAAGACTGTTTTTCTTTTCTTTTCCGATCTCACCCTCGCGGTGTATAAGCTGAAGCACTTGTGCTGTACACAGCACTCACTAATGACTCGTGTATCGTTTTCGAGAGCCATTAGCTGCTGCTAGGGGTCTTGCTCAATTGAAGAGATTTATATTGTAGGTATATATTATGTAAGCTTCGATATTCGGGCTCGTGATAGAAACGGGTACTTGGGCGCGTTTGCTATTATAATTCTTGAATGAATTCGACCCGCTAATAGCTCTCTTCGTGAATTTTTCTTCTCGTGCTAGTTATTGTGTTCAGGGGCAGAGGTCTTTGTGTATGTACGTTTGGGTATTGAGATTGAGTATGATTTTTTCACGGTCAGATGGCTAGAATTAATGGCAGTTCGGATATTTACTGTGCTCGTTATTTTTGGTCTGATGAAATCTAGGAATCTATTTAAGGAATGTTGAGGACCTTTTTTTCATTTGGGCACATTCAATTACTAAGGCAACAGATACATTCTAAAGCTGATTTTTCGTAAAGGTATTCAATAGTTGAATATAGGATTACTTTGTATGAGATATGAAGAATTCGTTTTTCTACAAACATCACTATTGAAAGTTCGTCTTCAAATACCAGATGTTTCTTGACACTAGTATCGAAAATTAAAAATGCTACTTACATGATAATATCATGCATAGAAAAATTATTATCATTTGAAGGATTCTCCAGCAAATGTTCGATATGGTCTTTCCCAAAATCAAAAATTATGGATTTTTCGGCCTAGTAACCTTCCCCTTTTCTCATCAAGACAATTTCCGGAAATAGATACTTTTTTCTTCGCACCACTGCAGAGCGATTTCGTACTAATGTCGGGACTTTTTCGGCAACAACAATAAACAATTTATTTGAGGACCAGCAAATGGTTGTGATCCTAAACTTTGTGATTGTTATTTTGAATAACTGATTTTTTTTTCATCGTTTTGGTGATTTCATGTCCCACACTCAGGCTGGATTAACCACAGGGCACGAAGGGCAATCGATGCCCAGGGGCGAATTCAGAATTTGGGCGAAAATTTTGCCAACAAGTATCACTAAGCAAAAGACAAGAGAATCTCTTAGTGATCAAGGATTTTTTCCCTCGACGAATTCAATAATTACCTATATATGTGGCTTACTATTTTGTTTCCTATAGCATGTTTAATATATATATTAACCACTTCATGTGGATGTATTTTCATGGTTTCGTTGTTGAATACCAATGTAAAATGATCTATTGATGGATGAATAAATATTCTTTTCTACTTATCTTATGATATAATAATCAATAAATATCATGAAGCTAGTAACTAATTTCTGAGATCGATCAGAAAAACATGTTTCGATCGATATCAGTGATTTGCTGTCTGTTACCCTATATAACTCATCAGCTCTCAGCTATGATGGCATACGTACGTTTCAATTTATACGATTTTGTAACCGATTCTCATCGATACACATATATTACTTTCTTTCAAATTCATGCAAAGCAAATTATAAAAGAAAATACTCATGCATACTATATATACGTATTCGCACCTTCTTACGTTCAAAATGTTCCAATATTGTTTGATCAGCACCACATGCACCACTGTTTTTTTGAAAAGCTAATTGTAGACGTAAATATACATGTCCAATTGTAAACAAACCCGCTCTGTCATATTATAACCGATCGAACTAATATAACCATCACAATCCATGGCTTTTGCGGTGGTTGGAATCACAAGGAAATCACCAAAGATTTCATGAAGATGCTAACGCTATAAATTGACTATTCTGAATTCTGAAAACAAGACGTGACTAATGACTTATTCCAATCTTGATCTCTATACAATATGAATTGAAAAAATAGAACATTCGATCAATGTCTAGGGTTGCCTGATGTCCGCGGTTTTTCTGATGTCTGTCCGGACAAACGAATATGTCCGGTTTTTCAACAAACTGAGATTTTTTTTTCTGATTTGTGAGTTTGTGTATATGGGAGGGAGCCACCGGCGATAGAGAAGTGGTATATTATCCCTTTGGAAACAACAATTTCAAAAGTTTTAGTTGTTTTGCATCTCGAATCTGGAAGATTGTCTACGCTGGATCAATTGATTGAGTAATGGTTAATCTCCCCGTGAAAACAGCATGCAACCTTCTTCCGAAAATATGTACGAGGAATTGTTTTTCCGTCACTTAAAATACTGGATATGTGTGCAAATCTTTCAAGAATGAGGCAGCACCAAATTTGTTAAAACAAGTTCAATACGTATAAATGTATTCCATATATCCAATGCTTTTGTGGAGAGAATATTCAGTGTGATGGAAAATGTCTGGACATACAAGATAAATCGTCTGTTTGTATAGATATACTGTCAAAAGTGAACTTGCGTTTTCTTTAATATCAGGCAATAAACAGGTGTTGAAAGCAGCGGTATTCAATACAATTTCGTTGTCTCCCATAGACACAGTCAACTAGCTTCATTGAGACGAATGAACCAAGATGTTGTGCCGTCATCACAGCAACTGCCAACAGCCGGCATTTCCTCTCGTTCAGCTGTCACCTACATTGAAGAAATCTTCAATCCCGGAAGATTTCACTCTCATGCCCAGGACAAAGATATACCTTCGAGCCCAAAAGAGTCCTGCCAAAATTTCCATGACGATGGGAGGATGCCATGCCCAGTCATCATTCCCTACCTCCAAGCTGCCACAAGTCTCATCAAGAAGAGTCTGATTCCAAAAGCTTCAGTTCTATAGCCAGTGCCGGATTAAGTTAAGATGTGAGTGTGCATTGTAGACACTAAACTTTAAATGTTTGTGGATAACATTTTTCTGAAACCTTTTGTACACGTTGATGAATATCAAATGTTTTCGATAATTTAGGTTCTAGGTAGTAATTTCAAAACTGGGGTCTAGTTTTCTCGGAGAGGAGGGTCATGTCACGAGTAGAACATATGGTATATCAGTAATCTCGAACCATAAGGGCTTTATGAACATAAAGTTAATCATATCATCCGTTGACATTTAACTATAAAAACTGACCAAGGAACTCTCATGAGAAACGTGCAGATCCAATAAAATGATGTATATAAATATTGGATGTGAGGGTTCCGAAGTTAGTCTGGTCATTATAATGTGAGTTGTTATTTGGTCTTCATATTCACTGTTGTTTATTCATATTTGTCATTGCTACCTATAATGTTTCATGTTTCAATAAATATCGTTGAATATAGTCTCATACTTTCAGCTGCCCCTGAACTATTAGTGCCTATTCGAATATTACCTCTCGCAAATTATTAAGAGGCAAGCAAGCCCCTTATAAATCGATATGAATGGACTAACCATCTATTTTATAGTGACAGTATATTAAAAAGCAGTTTGCTGTATCTACAAAGTTTTGTTTTGTGATTCTCGTCTCAAAATGGATAAAACATGTTCATTATGTTTTGAAGTCGCTTACTTGGAATGTTAATGTCCAGTTTTTTTCCACCATATATCTGGCAACCCTATATCTATACGGATTGGGAGAAAACAAACTCGCAGTACTCACCAGGACTAGAATTCTCCGAGGAATCCGAGGCAGTCGCGAACGCCCCCCTCTGCATCAGCGGCGCCATGCCCAACGGCTGCCCCTGATCCTGGTGGGGATGCCCTGCCGCCGACGTGCCCTGAGCGTCCGATGTCGCCTGCCCCGCAGGCGGAGCAGGAAACAGGATCCCCAGCTCCCGAGCCTCGTTCTCCTCCTGGGCCTGCTGTCGTCTCAGGGCCACTTGGGCGGCCATCACGCGCTGCCTCTCCGCTAGAATAATTTTATAATGATGATAATAACAACTACGAAATAGCCACAATGCTCAAAGAGGAATGGAATGTTGAATACATACAGAGAGCTCAAAGTCAATCCACACAATGTTCACAAAATGAACAACAATGGTATAGATTTCGGGAGAAAAACAACTAATTTCCTGGATAATGCCATCACGCAGAACATTGAATTACATCCTCCCGAAATCTATGCATCGACTCGTATAAACAAATACTGATACAAGTGATACACCTACAGACCGGTTTCGAGCTCTTTGACTCTCATCAGTGCAGGGCAGTCTCCAGCTATTTCGTAGTTGAAATTACGCCAGTCGGGCAACCAGCCACTCCCGTATGGGAATTTCAGTTTTGGAGTGTTTATTTCCTTTGTTTCTACTCAGATGGCGTTGCTTTCATGTTGTCTATGAAGGACGCCTCTGGGGGAATATAATGCCGACTTGATTTCAGTTTGGCTATAGGCTACGCTTAGTCGACGGTCTTAGGACTGCTGGCTGGAGACTGCCCTTAACTTATGAGAGTCAAAGAGCTCGAAACCGATCTGTAGATGTCTAGCGTGGTCTGGCTAAATTGAAATCAATAGGCTTTCGGGAAAGATTCACTTGTATCAGTATTCGTTTAAACGAGTCGATGCATAGATTGCGGGAGGATGTAATTCAATGTTCTGCGTGGCATTAGCCAGGAAAGTAATTGTTTTTCTCCTTTCAGTGGCGCAATAAATTCCAGCGCATTTTCTTCCATATATAGAGAAAGGGAACAATTTCTTAGAAATTTCAAACATTCAGTTTTCTATTAATTTCGTTACTACAGATATTTCTTCGCTGATGAATATTTATCTAAATCAACTCTTAAATACTGATGAACAAGAATGAAATATATTTTATACAGCATGCCTCTTCAACCGCCCCCCCCCCCCTATATCTCAGCTATTATAGTAGTGCGATTCCGATATGAATAACCATCAATATGATCAATTTTCCGCAGTGACTAACAGCCTTTTGGACAGTGCCCTCCTTTTTTATTGAAATATAAAGGGGTCGTTTCTTATGAAATCATATTAGGATTTTTTGCAAGAAAACTAACTCCATAATATTGTTCGTCATCATGCTTTCAACCCTCCATATGCACAAACTTAGGTACCTCATTTCGAATTAACGGAATTGGCTTGATTTTTTTTATTTTCAGCCTCGAAAAAATATTGAATTGATGATATAAACTGCAAATTTTGGAACGTTCAATAGCTCCGGTAGTAAGAAAATAATGATTTGAAATAAAAATCAAGATATACTATTTTATGTTGAACTCCGAGTTTCCTTCATTATATAATTCAAATTACTTCATAATATCATTAGAATCTTTTCAATTCCAATCTTAAGTATTCTGATTAATTCTCAAATCCTTCTCAATTACTCTTCAGTACTTCTTAATTACATTAATTACTTCGAAATATTTTCTAAATATTTTCATTACTTACAAATATCACATACTTTAAATATGGTGTATACGTATACACTTTTATGGAGAGTTGTTTGCCCCTCGCGAAATCCCAACCCTGGCTCGGACTAACTTGTAAAACATTACGCGGTATAATAAGTGGTTTTATTTATTATTGTTTGTTTCTGAATAGTTTGGTGAGTAAGAAATAACATTATACATACAAGGTGTTTTCAATTATTCAATGCAAATTTTTTTTCCGCGTGATGGAGGGAGGAAAAAGAAAATACTTGGAGGAGTATTTAAAGTTTCGATTTTCAACTGTTATCAATAATGCAATACAGAAGCCGCAATGCGTTTCATGCAATGCAGTTCTCAGTGCTGAATCTATGAAACCCTCAAAGCTAAAACGTCACTTGGAAACAAAGCATCCCGAACATGTTTCAAAGGACTTGGACTTTTTCAAACGGTGTGAAAGTCGCTTAAAACATCAAAAACTCGATTTTACTGGAAATTTTCAACAACAACATCAAAATGTAGTTCAAGCTTCATTTGAAATTGCTCTCGAAGTCGCTAAAAATAGAAAACCTCATACAATTGCCGAGAAGCTTATCAAGATATATTCACTCTGATAATATCAAAGAAGAGTTCTTGATTTGTTAAGCCTTAAAAACCACAACGAAGAGTGATGATGTGATGGAGATGATACGTTCGTTCTTCGAAACGAATGAGCTGAAATGGGAGACTTGTGTGGAGTATTGTACCGATGGAGCAGCTATGCTCGGATCAAGGTCAGGCTTTCAGAAAAAAATCAAAGAGCTTGCACCCCTAGCAAAGGGATTGCACTGCATGATTCACCGGTTTGCCCTCGCTATTAAAACTCTCCCGGAGCCTCTGCAAGAAGTGCTCAACTCTTTGATCAAAATCGTTAACTATATTAAATCTAGTGCTCTCAACACCCGTCTTTTCAAAGAACTCTGTAAAGACATGAACTCTGATCATGAGACTCTTCTGTTCTATATTGCTGTTCGTTGGTTGTCCAAAGGGAATGTTATTGAACGTGTATTTGAGCTAAAGGACGAACTCAAAGCCTTCTTGGAAATGCAAGAGATATCAGATTTTATGGAACATCTCAATAACCCAGCTTGGATACAAAGAGTTGCTTATTTATCGGACATCTTCGGTCAGTTGAACAAGTTGAATCTGAAACTTCAGGGAAATGACTTGCACCTCATCTATTTTAAAGATAATCTCTCGGATAATCTCCAAGCATTTGTGTCCAAGATTGGAAACTGGTGACATAAAGTAAATCTTGAAAACTTTGCAATGTTTGAAAACCTGAGCACCATGGTTGAAGTATCAGAGGCAGGAATTGCGGGGGATCTAAAAGAGGAAATTGATTATCACCTTAAATCCCTTGAAAATGAAATTCAACGTTATTTTTCCGAGCTGTCTGACCAAGAAGCTGCAGTAGTAACGTTCCTGATGAATTGCAAGATGAATTTTCAGATCTTAAAAATGATTCCACAGCACATGTCCTATTCCAGGAAAAAACGTTGACTGAATTTTGGTGTGCCATATATTGTTCATATCCTAATGTCGCTCTGCTTTCTTTGCGGGTACTAGTAACTATGAAGTTCAGGCTAAAACTTAATCCGGAAAAATCCCAACGAATGCTTTTCAACCACAAAATATAAGATGATTCACCTATACGGTAACAGTTAATATAATCATGCAGTGAAAAATGGACCACAGTTAAATATCTGGGAGTACACTTTGACAAACAACTATAAACTTCCACCATATCTAACCAGTTGATGAAAAAAAAATTATCACGAGAGCTAAACATTTTCGGAGCCTAACCTACTTATATACAAGCGAGCCTATATAAATATACAAGAACCATACGAAAGTTACCAAAGAACAGCAGCATATTATATTATTTGTGAAGTCATTTGCCGCTCACCCAATATACATCAATACTAGGAAGCCGGCTCAGAAAAATCAAGAAGTAGCAGAATAAAGAGCAAGCCTGAGCTGCCTGAGAACCATGCATCACTAAAATCTGGCATCACCCTCAAATTTCTCTTCACAATCCATCAAACGGATTTGTATATCAACTGTATATATATTTATGGTTCGAACTACCCATGAGGTACTACCACGTCCCATTAATTTTTTTTTCAAATATAAGAATAAGTATAATACATCAGCCTTATCGTCGCTCACTTGAAATATAAAAGCAACATAGAATAAAAATTTCCAACAAAATAAGAAGTTTTCTAAAAGGATTTTTGATGAAACAAAAAATACAGTTCGACAATTTCACACTTCTACACTCCACACTCCAGATCTAATGATCACAATGCGCAATTAAAACCACTTCATATACTCAATAGTCACCCGTCACCGTACTCTTCAGAACCTGAAACGTCATTTACCCTAATATAATATAATCTAACTGTATTGACACGTGGTAAGACTCCCTCAATTGCGGTTATTGATTATTTTGCAGCCCAGACCATCTCAATGGAATAGAGAAGGGCAGTTGAAACAGTATAGGTATATGACCGTGTACTTCTAATAAGAGTTGGTCAACCACATATTCTTTCTGGAAATTCTGTTTCTTCATTAGGTAACTCTTTTCTCAGTTTTTGGGGAGATATTTCCGCCATTCTTTCAATTTATTGGATTATATATCAGCCTTTTCCGTGTTTATATTTGTTGACGTGAATGGTATGACACATGCATTATTTCGATCACTAAATTTGCTGAAATATTCGGTAAAAGCTGCTGTGTTTCCCATTTCTCAAATAGTTCTGCCGTTACATCCTCGAGATAATCGGTAGACGTTGCTTAATATTTTCGACAGACAACAACAAATCAGTGGAGGATTACATAATTATTCTGCCACTCAAATTAATTTTTTGCTATCATCTACACAACCGTATTGAACACAACAAACAACAAGAGTGTCAAACTGTAATGTACTGAATAACTCAGGAAATAATTCTTTATTTACTTCTTCATGTACAAATTACCAAAATCATTCAATGACATTGTTCTAAAAAATTGTTCTGATTCCACAATTGATTTATACTGTATGAACTATAATTTAAAGATACAATACTTAACATCTCCCCCCTAAAAAAAATTTCACAATAATAAAAACCACCAAAACCATGTTAATATGATAACCGAACTGGAGGTTTAATGACTCGTTTTGGTCTCAGTGAACATTCATCACTTTTTTCAACTTCATCATTGCTATATACCTTCTCTTGTTTATCCTCCCTTTTCAATTCATCACCTCTTATCTCCGGCTTTGTAATATTATCATCCTCAAAAGACCTTCCTAAATTTGAATTTTCCTGGATATTTGATTCAACAAATGCTTTTTTTATTTGATTCAAATGTCTCTTCCATTTCACATTATTCAATTCTGGCACTTCTACTGTATACACTGACTCTCCAAGTTTTTCAAATATAATAGCTTTAATCCAAGTCGTTTTATTATTTCTGTAATCTTTGACAGTAACTGATTCACCGTTTTTGAATATTATTGACCTCAAGAGGAGTTGGAGCGATTGTTATGGTGTGGGTGGAGTAATTGAAAGAATGGATTATTGTGAATGGGGAACTCCAATTGTTCTGATTTTGAAATCGAACGGCTCTGTAAGAATTTGTGGTGATTTCAAGGTAACAGTCAACCCATTCATTGAAATAGATCAATTTCCTTTACCGAAAATCGATGACCTTTTTGTTAGATTGCAAGGGGGCATTCATTTCAGTAAATTAGACCTGTCGAATGCTTATCAACAAATATGTTTAGATGAGAAATCGAAAAATTTGACCACGATTTCAACACATAAAGGGTTATTCAGATATACGCGTGATCCATTCGGAATATCGAGCATTCTAGCAAAATTTCAAAAAATCATAGAACATTTTGAATACTCCGTTTGTGATTCTGAAGAAGCTATCTCAACAGCTGCTGTGAATTTGATGTGCTCACCCTCTTCAAACAATCTATCTTTCACCTTTCCTGATTCATATCCAATAATGAATCGATTTACTAAAGCATATTCAATTTTTTCTGCTCCTCCAAATCTGCACGATGATACTAAATTTCGTAATCGTGCTGCCCATTCTTTTGGTGTTTCAGTATTAATTTTTCGGGCTTCGAAAAACTTCTCTCTTCTCGCCCATACTGATAGTATTGGTTTGAAATGCTCATCTAACAACTTAACAATATCAGTATAAATTTTCTCTTCTGGTTCCACAGGCAAACACGTGTTGAATAATAATTTGTATGCATCCTCATTCAGCAAACTTAATAAAATGGCTTTCTTACGCTCATCATTCTGGATATCGTTAGCTGTGAAATAATTCTGAAGTCGACGTTTGTAGATAGACCAATCTAAACAATCAGGAACAAATTCTTGAATATGGCCGGTATACTGAAGTTCTTTCTCCGTCATTTCACGTAGGTACCGAAATATCCTCGTCGCCACTTGTAATGTAGGTACTGAATAACTCAGGAAATAACTATATTCTTTATTTACTTCTTCATGTACAAATTACCAAAATCATTCAATGACATGCATCCCAAGAATGTTGTTTTCAATAAAATCGGTACTAAGCAACAACAGAATACTATATCCTGATTCCACAATTGATTTACCTATACTGTATGAACTATAATTTAAAGATACAATACTTAACACAAACCATTGTCGTTCTAGATGACAACCTACTTAGGTAGTTAGTAGGCAAGAGCGTACTAGGTCGCCTACTAGGTTCCCATTTAGATCGACAAAGGTCAAACCATAGGTTTTACAATTCGAGTATTTTTTTTAACTTATCCCTATATTATAATAGTTTCCAATGTTGGCATCTTATTCTCTTCAGCAAATCCATGCACATATAATTTAACCAAAGCCTTCTTTCGAAGCATCATCAAGCTTCAAGCTTCTTGAGTTTTTGTCTAACTCTAACTGGTTTATCTTTTCACCATGATCCACATCTCCGGTTCTGATAACTCTGAATTCTCGATCTTCACAAGCTGAGCTTCCTAAGAACCATATTTTCTCGTACTTGAGACAACAATCGGAATTCAAATTCACCCGTTGAGTTTGAATTTGTAAGACTCCGAATCACTATCATGCACTATAACTTCGTTGGCTTCCTCGAAAGGCCTCCAAAACGCCATTATATTCTATAATTCCAAATCAGAACACGGAAACAGTATAATATGAATGAAATAATAAATTTTCTGAATTTCGAATACAATCATGCCAGGAACTCGGGAAAAATCATAATAGAAAATATGTAATTCATTCCTATTAATTTAGAATGAAATTGATGAATCTTCGTATCATTTTTAAACAGAACAGAAGTGCCTCAACTAACTTTGTACATACTACAACTATTTTACCTATGAGCGTGCACTTGGCACAGTTGCAGTCCCTCCATCGGCAGTACCGTTTGTGGCCTTTCAGGGCCGAAACGACCCCATGGTTGCGGCACCGGGCGCACTTGGGCGTCCTTTGGTACCGCTCCGACGCCCTGAGAAAGAACGCCGGCGGGATGGCGCCCAACACGGGGTGCTGGGACATCAGAGCGGACATGTCCATACCACTGCCCGGCATGCTCATCATCGAAAGCGCTTATTCACTGGTCTAGCAGTGCTCAGGGAACATATTCACGCGCGTGGACTGACAGTTACGGAGGAATGATACGCTCACGCTTTATATCCGCCGGTATTCGATATAGTCACTGCTGTGCCAAGGGATGTCACGCGGATCGACAGTACGCTATCCGCCGGGAGTCGATACAGTTGCTGCAATACTCAGGGATGTCACACGGACTGACAGTTACGGCGGAATGATACGCTTACGCTATCAGCCGGCGGTCGGTAGATACAGTGCCCCATCTGTTGGCCTAAGACGTCGGCCAATGGGAGTGCTGGCCACGCCTCTGGAGCGATGACGTGTGCGTTAGGGGACCGCCCACTTACCCCGCACTCTCGGGTATCCAGTGTGCCAGTGTATTATGTGTGGTATTATAATGGGATGGAGAATAGGAATATACAAACTAGATTTCAATGGCAAATATATTACGGGTATTATAATGGGGCTCTGAAGGAGGGTCCTACAAAACGTTGTAGTTTCTCCTGATGTGCTATTGTTTGGCGTTTTCGAGCGCAATACTATATTATATAATTCGGTTTGGATAGGTTTTATACGAGAGGTTCTATAACGAGCCGGATTTCATATGGATGCTGAATGGGATTTCGGGAATGATCGGCTATTAATACTGGGAACAATGAAACGGTTATTTTTGGATATATAGTGGAAGTGTTGAATGGTTCTATTTATATCCTGATTTTCGATTGTAGCTGCATTTGTACCTATAGCTACCTATACCTACTAGAGGAATGTGACTTTTGTCAAATTGAAAGCTATTCGGACTATACATCAATCATATATACCTAGTGATAGGTATATGTATATAAGGTTGATGCCTTTTGGCAAGCAACCGACGCTGGTTCTCGATCGTTTTGGCATTTGAGACAAAATAATATAAGGGAATATTCCTTATACCATTAAAATCACTAGAAAATGGATATCTGGCGCAGAGTATGGGAAAAAAGTAGAGCTTTTCCCACAGAAAATCATTTGATAACTTCCATGTTTGAAAGTGCTAGTTGATACCATCAGGCCAGAAAATAGAGAATAACTTTTTTTTGAATGCATGCATTAGTTTTGTTTTACATTAATTAGTAGATATATATTGTTTTTCATGTATTTGGAAAAATCAGACAGTCATACAAAAATTGACTCTCTCATTTCTCGAACAAAGTGGTCGAGAACCAAAACATATCTTGAATAATGTTTATGTCTATTAATAGATAAACTTTCTTTGGAAAATGTTATTTTTTTAAATATACTTATTCATTCACATATATCTACTTGTTGAATATTAGTTTGCGACCAACAAAAAATTGAGGTCTAAATAATATTTCTTCTGCAATTAATTTACTGATGGTCGAAAATCAATTTGACCATATTCAGTTCTCGACCACTGATGTGAAGTTCCGCAAGGCTCTGTTTCAGGGCCCATTTTGTTCTTGGTGTATGTATCCGACCTTACGAAAAATTTCCTGTCCATCACGGCACTGTCATATGCAGACGACCTCAAGATATATTCCGTTTCTTCACCCACCCTCCAGGATAACCTATTCACCCCACAGGCTGTAGGGGTAGTCACTGGATTTTGGTTAATCAATAAGCATAATATAGACAAAACTTCTAAATTCGAAAAATCAGGGGTATACAAACTCAACTGTGGATCTTGTCCTGAGGTATATCGGTCAGAAAGGTCGTACGTTTAATCAGCGCATTCATGAACATAAGATGAATTTTATGAAGAGGAAAACAAATTCAACATACGCCAACCATATATATTCGAAGAAAACCATAGTTTTGATGATAATTTCGAAATTCTACACGTAGAAAATAAAGGACTGAAACTCAATCATTTTGAATCATTAGAAATCAACAAACTCGAAAATGTTGACATTTTACTTAATGATCAATTAGACCTCAATAGTTCACCACTGTTGAATTTGTTTTCTTAGTAAGTAATATATGTATTTGCTATCAACTCTTTCAAGATAATCCGGTATACCGTATCTTAATGTAGATATTGTCCCTAATTTCCGAAAATGGAGGTTTATCGATTCTGTCCACAGGTAAATTAATCCTCCAAGTTGAGAAAGTAGGATATATAAAAGTTAAGCAAGCCAACGTTGGTTTAGTTCATTGTACCAGCATATCACCTGACGAAGCTACTGTGTTACATGTCGTGTGTTTGAGAATTTTGTATGGAAATCTTATCGTTTGTGAAGTTTTCACATAATAATATACTCCCCTATACTTTTAATGCGGAAAAAAACTATTATGTATAGGGAAAAAGCTCGAAAATTGTTTTTCAAATCTCTCCCGCAAGTTGAGAAAGATCCTTCGGAAGTTTTTGTAAAAAACATGAAAAAAAATCGAAAAAAAAATAACAGCAACATCATAATATTATAGGGACAAGTTTCCTGGCTTCCAATTCGAGTTTCATTCAATTTGAGATGTATAGGTACAATTTTCAATTCACACGCAACTCAAAAAATAACAAAACTCCAGATCAACCTGATTCCTACAGGTGTCTATCTCTCTACTAACAAAAACTGACAAAAGTAACAAAACAATCCCAAACGCAAACATAACCTTATCCGATCCGTATCTCGTACCGAAACTGTCACTAAGTAGGCTTCGAAAGGGAAACAATAAACATTCGAAATACGAAAGATACACCCTCGTGTACCTTAAATCCGTGCATGGTGTCTATATACAGGATGGTCCAACGAAAACTTTACGATTTAAGGACATCAAAACGTTCGGACTCGTCGACTTCTGATTCGAGGGGGAGCAACGTGTCTGCAGTGTTGCCAGATGAAAATTTGCCGGAGCAGTGAATGAGTGACGAAAAAACAGTAGAACATCAAAAATGAACAGTAGATTTCAATAATCATCACAATTTGCTGTTATAATTGAAAAACACATAGAAACCTATATATAAAACAAGAAAAAATGTTTGGCTTTTATATCAATCAAAAATTAAACGAAGAATAACAACAATAATAATAAAAAAAAAATTTTAAAATCGAAACCAAATCGAAAATAAAAGCTCATTCATAAATCAGACTGAATATGATAATTCCAGTATAATTTAATCATACATCTTCTTACTGTGATGCCCCATTAATTCTTCATTGTAACATATTATATGTCATATCAAAACATGGCCATTCAGACCATTGCCTTGTAGATAACATCATTTTTGGTAAAGGGAAATCCTACAATGCTCAGCGAATATACTTGAGAAAATTATGTCTCTATGGTTTTTGAAAAGTCAGGCAAACATATTAAATTATGAGCAAAATTGGCCAAGTTCAAGAATACTATTGAATAGTCTCCAAAACAATACTTTTTCACCTGCAAACCACACCTTATCAACTCTGAAGCCTAATTTCTACGACCACTTGTCTGAAATTTTGCCATTTCCCAGTTTTGCTTTTGGTTAAACGTTAACGAAAAAAAAAACAATAGGTTTTATGTCTAAACAAGAGAACAATTGAACGGGGACAAAAGCAGTGTTGAAAGAGTAGGTAGGTCTGGCAACGCTGCTTGTCTGCTTTCTTCATCCCCATAACTTCCAACCCCCCTACCAGGAGGAAGCACAACCTTTGGATTTCGAATAGGGATGAGGGGTGTTGCAATATCTCATTTTGAAGATTTCATTGAGTATATACTATCCGACTTTCTCATTTCGCGTCGAAATTTTCATCGATAACGAAATGAAAGATAAAATAGTGAAATAGGCAATGTTCAATTTACATCGAATATATTGTTCTTATTAGAGTAGTATTCGAAAAGTATTTTTTCTGCGAACGTCAAAAAATGACAAGATTCGCGAAGTGACAGTACAGTGTTGCCGAGAAGTTTTTCGGATTTTCATTTTGATGCCCAAGAATCGGAGTGTAAAGTTTTCGTCGGACCACTCTGTATATATACCCTCCTGAACGGCAATTACTTATCTTGAGGTCGCATCATGTCAGGGGGATGTATGGTTCTAGTGTGTATTACAATATGTTCTCCGATAAAGAAATGAGCTATCGCCGAGAGCGCTTATCTTGGATTGTTATCTCCCTGGATACCGCAGCTCCCACACGAATAAATAGGTGTATTTTGTGGGGATCATGATTGTCTCAATGGAGCATGTTGTACACACGGTGATTCCGTTCAGGTAAATGTTTGACACATGCACGACCTGAAATCGAGTTGACATACCCGATATACCTAATGAATCTTTGTTGATAGTTGGGGAGACAGCGATTTTATTTCCTAGCATATTCGATCATGAATAATTTCATTATTTTTGTGTCATATCAACACCTTCTAGACATAAAATCAACTCCAATAATATTTTTAATTCGATTCTACTCGAGCTGATCGATACGAAACAAGAGTACCTTTTTTCTGTAAAGAGGTGTGGATTTCCATAATTCGATATCAAATTGAAGAAAAATATGCATACAAAATAGTTTGAGTAATATTACATATAGTATCACCCTCTATTATACACTCCCGAATGAAATCTTTTTCTACGACTATAATACAAAATTGCTCTTGTTTCACTATGTTCGATACATCAATGAGGTACTTTGTTTGTCAACAATTTCATTTCTGTATCTGATATTACAATGACTCTATTGTGTTATTATTTCAGAAAAATCTCTTCGCTCATGGAATGTCAAATGTGAATCAATAGCAGGTACAAGTAGGTACCGGTGCCTGTGCATTCACCATTTTGTCGAGAATTTCTCACAATTTTCAATTTCTGTAAGAAATGTGCAAAAAAGGCTACTGATATGCAAAATACAATTCTCTATTATTCAGACGTTTCCATTTTCTTCATCGAGTGACTAATAACATAGTTGAGAATTGTGTTGGAACTGGTTCCTTACCATACAAACTCTCAGAATCAATAAGAAAATGTCAAAGTTACTAATTTAGACAAACATTTGGTGATTTAGCAAATAAGA